TGGCTGTGCCGGGGGGAGGTGGGTGTCCCCTCCCGCACCCAGGGCCTTTGCAGAGCCGTCTCACTGGAAGTGCATGGACGATGAGCAGCAGGCGGTACTGACCACACCATGGTGGGGAGGAGAGGCCGGGGGGGGGGTGCCTGGGAACCCTCGGTGACCTGGGGACTCCCTCCCTCCCCTCCTAGCAGAGGGGGCTGGGGAGGGCCCCTTACTGAGCAGCTCTGAGAGAGCCAGGCTGGTTCAGCACTGGGGTGTGCCCCGCTCTCACCCCAAGTCGCAACTCGAATTCCGTAAAGGGGGCTGCAACGATGTAGGGTCTTCCCCGGGAGGCCTGAAAGTGTCTGAACGAAAACCTTATGGTGGGATTGAAAATGCTCTGAAGTTCGCCCATGGAGAGCCGTCTTTCAGCTGAGAGTCACAGCCCTCGGGGCCGCCCCGACAATGACTCAGCCCAGAGAAAGAAACGGACGCCCTGAAAAGCGACGCGACTCCCCCCCCGCAAGCACACCTGGCAAGCTGGTGGCCCGGCTCTGCCTCCTGGTGCCCAGCTCTGGGTCCTGCCCAAGACCAGGCCGTACAGCAGTGGTTTTCAAGCACACCGAGCCCCAACCCTGGCTCTCCTTCTTATCCGCTGCCTGATCTGGGAGGAAGGTCCTTAACCTCCGGGAGCCTCGGCAGCCTCACCTCCAGCCTGGAGACGATAATCCTTGTTCCTCGGGCCTCCAGTGAGGAGCATAGGAAGCGGAGTATGGCTTACTTTAGAGACCGCCTCCTCGGGCGGGCGGGCGGCTTAGGGTTAAGCTTTGGCTTGGCACACCTGCCTCCCATATCAGAGTGCCTGGGTTCCAGTCCCAGCTCTGCTTCTGCTTCTAGCTGCCTGCTAGTGTGCTCTCTGGGGGTGGAGGGGCAGCAGGTAGCCACGCGTGTGACAGACCCAGACTGAGTTCGTGGCTTCTGGCTTCAGTATTTGGGGAGTGAACTAGTGGATGGGAACAGCTTCTCGCCCCTCCCCAAAATAAATAGACATTAAAAAGTAAATTAACATCACCTCCTCCAGGAAGTTCTCCGTGATTCTTGCTTCCTAAAGAATGGAGGTGACCTTGATGAATGTTCCCACTGCACTCTGCTTATTTCTGGCAGTGCGCTTGTCAGACGAGGTAGTAATCACATGTTCAGGTTCCAATGATATCCCATAAACTACATGAGGTCAGAAGCCTTTTCTTGCTCATCACTGCCTCCTGTGATAACAACAGGAGTGGCAGGCAGTCAATGAACAGGTTTACAGACGGGCAGAGGGTGGATGCAAGAGCCGGCGCCTCCTCTGTAGAGCCATGTGGCCCCTCTGAGCAGGGCATTCTTGGTCCGTGCCTTCCTGGTGCCTGGTTCAAACTCTACCCCAGGCTGATCCCCCAGCTCTAGAACAGGGGAAACAATGCTACCTACATCATGGCGCTCAACTTTGAATAAATAGCCTAAGTCACGGAATAGCTTTATTTTATTTTTTAAACAGATTTAATTTATTTATTTGAAAGGCAGAGTTACAGAGAGGCAGAGGCAGAGAGAGAGAGAGAGAGAGAGAGGTTTTCCACCTGTCTGTTTACTCCCCAGATGGCTACAATGGCTGGAGCTGAGCTGATCCAAAGCCAGGAGCCAGGAGCCTCTTCCAGGTCTCCTGCATGGGTGCAGGGGCCCAAGCACCTGGGCCATCTTCCACTGCTTTCCCAGGCCACAGCAGAGAGCTGGACTGGAAGTGGAGCAGCCGAGACTCGAACCAGTGCCCATATGGGATGCGGCACTGCAGGCAGCAGCGTTACCCGCTGTGCCACAGCGCCGGCCCCACATCACAGTTTTAGAGCCACAGTCATGGTTCGTTCAGTTTGACTCAGAGAATCCAGAGGCTGCTCAAGGCAGGATGCTGCCCTCAGTAATCGCGCTAGCTTTGGCAGCACCCCCACGGCTGCCTGCCGGACAGTGCCTGGCTGGGTGTTGTCCGTGAGTGCAGGAGAAAGGAATGCAACTGCTAGCTCAGGAGTCGGGGCAGGGCCCCCTCCTTCGCGCTCCCACACCAGGCGCACGCTAACGCGGCCTCTTACACACCCCACACCCGCAGTCAGAGACCCCCAAGTACCGCGGAGCAGCCACTAAAGTCACTCATGCGCAAGAGCCTTACCTACCACCTTCCTTTTACCTCCACAACACCCCACACCCAGCACCCCAGCCCCACCCCTCACACACACAAGACTGAACTCAAACCACAACATCGGGGGCTGGCGTTGTGGCGGAGCGGGTTAAGCGCCACCTGTGACGCCCGCATTCCATATGGGCAATGCTTCGAGTCCAGGCTACTCCACTTCTGGTCCAGCTCCCCGCTAATGGTCTGAGAAAAGCAGTGGAAGATGGCCCAAGTGCTTGGGCCCCTGCTACCAACATGGGAGACCCAGATGAAGCTCCTGGCTCCTGGCCAGCCTGTTGCAGCCATCTGGGGAGTGAACCAACAGATGGAAGATCTTTCTTCTCTCTCTGTCTCCGTAACTCTGACTTTTAAGTAAATAAATAAATCTTAACAAAACAAACAAAACCCGGAACATCAGCCCCCAGCCCCAGCAGCGCCTGGCTGCAGATCGCGCTGCTCCCCCTTCCTACTGAGGGGCTCACTCCTCCCCTTCCGGAAAACCTGGGCCCCGGTCTTAGCAGACTGTTGAGGAGGCCGAGGAGCCAGAACTCCAGGGTTCCTTCCTCTCTCATTGGGTCCCATCTCTCAACCTGCAAGGCCAGGTCCATGGGCCCCCTCCAGTGCCAACTCAGGTCATAGGCAAGGAGGGGCCGGGCCAGGGGCTCCAAAGGGAGAGGCCCCCCGGTAGCGAGGCGATTTACTGGGTGCATAATAGGGGTCAGATACACAGTCTCATTTAATTCTCCTAACCAGCCTTTTCCCAAAGAACGACATTTGGGCGACACGGGTTAGGAGATTTACCTAAAAGCGCCTGATGGGATTGGCCTGCGATTCCAGAATCTGCCATCTCCAGGCTTTGGAGAACAGCGGGAGCACGGACGAGGCCTGCAGGTAATAAGCTGGGGACACGTCCCTCAAGGCATCATCCGCCCCCCAAGTCTGCCAGGCCCTCATCTCCCAGGAAAGGGGGCGACGGACGACAGGCGTGGGGCGTGGGGTGGGCGGGGCCGGGGAGGGGCCCTGCCTGCCCAGGGGAGGTGCCCAACCGGTGGCCCAGGCTCACAGGCCAAGATGGCTGTTAATTAAAGTGCTGGCACCAGCTTCTCGCCGCAAAGTTTGAAGCCGTTATTTTCCACTCCAGCGAAGCGGGGAGAATCCGGCTGGGCTGACAGAGACGCCGCGCGGCGCCGGGGGAGCGGGCGCGCTTTCGGGGCGGGGGCGCGGCGCGGGCAGGCGAGCGCGGAGTGGGTGACTGCGCTGCGCCCCGGTTGGAGGCGGGACGCGTCCCGCGCGGGTGGCCGCGTACGTGCCCCTCGGGAAATCACGGCGAGGAGACCGCCGTGGGGGAGCGCCGGGCCCGGGTCTTCCGCAGCCGGGGGAGGTCGGGCCGCCCTGAGCCCCCTCCCGAGGGACGTGGGCAGCGGGCACCACCTGGAGGCTCAGCCGCGCTGAGGCTGGAAGGGCTTGGAGCGGCCTGCGGGCTGCGGTCCCGGCCCTTCCACTCGCGAGCTGTGCGACTTGGGACAAATCTCTGAACTTCCCGGAGCCTCAGCTCCTCATCTGTAAAGTGAGAATAATTAGGAGCTTTTTACTCTGGAACGGATGCGAAGATCAGGCGTGATCACGGCTGGGATGCGTTCGGCATAGGGCCCGGCGCGCAGTAAGCCCCGAATAAATGCTCCTTATCAAATATTCGCAAGCTCCCTCCTCGGTGGCGGGGGTCACGCCACCCAGGTCAGCCGCCAGCGTTCGAAGCGCCTCTCAAGGTCATAGCCGCCAACGGGCTGCCGCCGCGCCCCTTTCCTGGGACCTTACCACGGGAGAGCCCAGGCGGCCGGCGGTCAGCTGGGACGAGTACGAGTGGGAGGGTGCCCAGCGAGATCCCGAGAACAGAGAGGGCCGGGGCGCCACTCTTAGGCCGCCGGCTAGGACCCCCTCCCCCGGTGGGCCGGACTCAGGAGGGTGACAGCCGTGGCGCCTCGGAAGCTGGGCCTCAAATAAGGTGACACACACTTTGATGGAAGCAGACGCGTTTTAGTTTATGCAACCTAAACATTTTGCTGAGCTCAAGGAAGACCTGACGGGAGAGGAGTCAGGGGGCCCTGGCGGAGGGAGGGCGGGGGAGGAGCGGAGGGACTGCGGCTGCCGGTCAGCACGCAGGAATGACGTGGGTGCCCATCTTCTCGGGGTCCTCAGGGAGATGGCGGAAGGGCCCAGCAGCGCAGTGAGGAAAGGGACTGACGAGCCTGCCCCTCCTGGGAGAAGGCGCATCCCGCCGGCGCCCCGACAGCGCCCCGAACCTGGACGCCGGAGGGCGGAGTGGCTTCCTCCAGACTCTTCCTTTTCCTTCCCCAGCTTTTCCCGCTCAGAACCTTCTTTCTGGTCCCCCCACTCCCCAGAGCTTGGTGTTCCCCGCAGGCCCGGGCGCTACCCACGCTCTTCCAACGCCTGCGCAGCGAGGCCCCTCGCGGCATCCCGCTGGCCCTGCCTTTTCCTCGTGACCGAGCCTCGAGACCTCGCCTCTCCCGGTTCCCCTCGGCGCTCTCGAGCTCTCCCTGTGGCCCGACTCTCCATTCCTTCTTCTGCCCTTCCCTCCCTGTCTCTCCGATTCCAACCCCATCCCTGTTGCCCAGTCTCAGTCTCCCGCGGCCCCTCCGGGCCCCGCCCCCGCCCAGAAGCCCCGCCCACCAAGGCGCCCGCGGCCCAATTAGGCGCAGGCCCCGCCCACAGCCACACCCCTCGCGCTCGCAGAGCCGCGCGGAGCGAGTGGGCGGGGCCACGCGGAGGGGGCGGTGGCCCCGGCGCCAGGAGGCGGGAGGAGCGAGGCGCGAGGCGGGAGGCGGCGGCCGCCGGGCTCAGTCCGGCCGCGCAGCGGGAGGGAGGCGCGAGGCAGGAGGCGGCGGCTGGGCTCCGCAGCGCACCGAGCGCAGCGCGGCGCCCGGGGCCCGGCCCCATGCCTGCAACCCCGCCGGACCGCCCTTGAGCGCGGGCCTCCCGCCCGCGCCCCCCGCCCGCCGGCACCATTGCCCCGACGGCGCGGCCGGGCGGCCCGGCGCTCCCCAGGCTCCGCGCCGGCCGGAAGACGCTGCTGGCGGCCGCCGCGGGCGTGGTGATGCTGCTGGTGCTGGTGGTGCTGATCCCCGTGCTGGTGAGCTCGGGCGGCCCGGACGGCCACTATGAGATGCTGGGCACCTGCCGCATGGTGTGCGACCCGTACCCCGCGCGGGGCCCCGGCGCCGGCGCGCGGCCCGACGGCGGCGACGCCCTGAGCGAGCAGAGCGGCGCGCCCCCGCCCTCCACGCTGGTGCAGGGCCCCCAGGGGAAACCGGGTCGCACGGGCAAGCCGGGACCCCCGGGGCCTCCTGGGGACCCCGGTCCTCCAGGCCCCGTGGGGCCGCCGGGGGAGAAAGGTGAGCCAGGCAAGCCAGGTCCTCCCGGGCTGCCAGGTGCCGGGGGCAGCGGCGCCATCAGCACAGCCACCTACACCACGGTGCCGCGCGTGGCCTTCTACGCTGGCCTCAAGAACCCTCACGAGGGGTACGAGGTGCTCAAGTTTGACGACGTGGTCACCAACCTGGGCAACAACTACGACGCGGCCAGCGGCAAGTTTACGTGCAACATTCCCGGCACCTACTTTTTCACCTACCACGTCCTCATGCGCGGCGGCGACGGCACCAGTATGTGGGCGGACCTGTGCAAGAACGGCCAGGTGGGCCAGGCGGGGCGTGGGGCTGGCAGGGGGCAGGGCGCCCTGGGCACACGGGTGCGGGATCGGAGTCCGGCGAGGGCAGGTGGAGACCTCACCGCGGCCCGGGACGGGCGGAGCCAGCGGGCATCCCCGAGTCTTAGGTTACCGGGCCCTGCTCCGAGGCAGATAGATGGTGCTGGGCGCATCTAGTCAGAGCACTGGGGCGGCCGCGTACCTGGCTGCTGGGGGCCTGGCCCTGGGAGGGGGATTCAGACTGCCACAACGGGGGGGGGGGGGGAGGGCAGGGAAGGGCTCTGGGGCCCCGGGTAGAGGGTGGGAGACAGACGCAGCCGCGGCGCCGTGGGGCGCTATGCGTGCAAGGGGAGGGTCGGACTGCAGGAATTGTTTAAGGCACAAAGGCAGAGGGAGACCGGTGTGCAGAGCCTTAGGGACTGTAGGATCTTTCTGACACCTTTGGCAAAATCTGGGAGTGCCAGCCCCCTCCTCCTGTGTCAGAGGGACCCACTGCAAACAGGCAGCCTCAGGGGGAAAGTTTTGCCTCCTGCAACAGGGCAGGAGTGGGAACTCCTCCTCTTGGTCTCCCAACCCATTCTGCCTCTGGAAGGGGGGTGGATCTCCCCCGTTCCCTGTCCCCATTCCAGACACCAGAGCTGGAAGGCATTGAGTGTGTGGGAACGGTGTGCACTGCCCTTGGAACAGTAGCCCTGAGACCAACCTCCACCCAGCTCCTGGGTGCTACCTCCCCTCCAACGGTGTGGGACCATGGAGGGGGTGTGTGGCCAGGCTGAGCATTCTCTTGGAAGAAGATGAGCCCTGGTCAGAACTGCAGCTGGGTTGATAGGGGCTGGAAGGAATCTGCCTCAGACTGGGACCCCAGACCCTCCCATGGCAGCGCTACCCTGCGGCTCTGCTGGCCTGGGGTCTGCAAGGCTTGGGGGTGGGGGAGGAGCAGGCAGGGGAGTTAGCAGAAAGGCCACCACGTGCTCAGAAGTTTGTCCCCTCTCCCCTCTCCCCTGCCCCCTTGACAGTCCTCCCACCCCAGTGGCTGCCTCTCCTCTGCCTTTTCTTCTGTCTCTGTATCTGTCCCTCCCTGGGATTCTGGTCCCTCTCCGTGGGTCTGACCCCCTTCTCGTCTATTCCTTGTCTCTTGCTGTCTCACTTGTGTCTATGCGGCTCCTGTGTCTCTCCTCTTTGTCCTTGGTTCCTGACCAAATGGGAGGCCCCCAGTATCCGGCAAGTGCGCATTCTGCAGACGGCCCCACAATTTCCCTTATCAGTCATCAATAAGGGATGCACCAATGTCACCTTCATCAATGGAAGTTCTTCCCCTCCCGAAGAAAGTTTGGGCTGGCACAAAGCTGAGGTTTCGGGGCACAGGGGCTCACGTGGATATAAAGGCAATAACCAGGCCACCCGTGTGCCCTTAGACCCTGCGCCACCTCAGGAGGGTGCAGTGGGGTCCCAGAAATGAGGGAAGAGGAGGCCTTGATGATGGCGTTTGTTTGGGGTGGGGCTGCTTGCTTCAATCACAGGGAGGTGAAACCACTCCTTTTTTCCCCTCCAGCAGGGATAGGGTGTTGCTGAGCCTGAAGAAGGGGTGCTCAGTGGAGGTAGAATCAAGGATGATAGAAAAAAGGAGGTGGCTGTAACTAGGGGTTCAAGGACCCAGCTCTTTCACGGCTACCCGGATGGCCTCACCCAAAAGAACCCAAGAGGAACAGTCTCTCCCTTTTCCTCCGTGACTTCTCCTTCCAGACTGCCTGGGAGACTCATTCAACGTATGAGCCGTTCCTGGTGGAGCCCTGCTAGGAGCCAGGTTTGGGCTTGGTACCGGGGGCTCCATGCACTTGCTCTTTAGGTCTCCATGGCCCATGCAGGGGGACAGTAGTCACTGTGCGGGTCCACACAAGTGTTTTGTTAAGAAGGGGCTGGGACGCCAACGGGCAGCTCCTGTTCCCGGTGGCTCCACCCTGGCCGACACCGACCTGGCTGGGGGAGACGTTGGTGAGCTTGGGTTCTACAGGCGAGGAGACCTGGCTAGGGAGGAAATAAAAGCTCAGGTGTAGGGACAGGCTGGCGCAGAGGTGGACACGGACATTCACGTGAGCAGAGACGAGCACAGGCGTGACCGTGGGTGGGAACAGGACAGGAGCCGCGCCCGCAGGCCTTCAGAACCAGGCCTGCCACGAGCTCTGTGCCTTTCCTCCTGGCTCCCTGCCTGCAGAGGGGCTTCCAGAATTTCTCGGGGGCAGGCAGAGCCGAATCTGGGCCCTGGCCCTTCCCCAGGTGAGACGGGTTGTGGGGGTGGCCGCCTGCGTGCCGGGTGCGGAGATCCCTTCTCTGTCCTCCGAGGCCCCTCAGCTTGGCACCGAGCCCTGGTCATTAGGACGTGCAGAGCCTGAGGAAAGGGCGCTGGGCTGCCCGGGGCGAGGCGCACTGCCGGCAGCTGCCCCTAAGATCCACAGTTCAGACAGATCAGGCAGGACACAAAACCCCGTAAACTTGGGCCCTGCATGTGTCGGCCATGCAGGGCCTCTGGCCAGGGTGCTGCTTGTCCAGGGAGGGGGGCTTTGGGAAAGGGGGGGGTGTTCCAAGTGGGCTAGGGCTTGGACAACACAGGCTGATCGAGAGGAGAAGCTGGTGGCACATATAAATTGAGGGCTGAAGTATAAAGACCTGAGATCCTTCTCTCACCTGATGGTGGGAAGGGCCCCCTGGCCAACCTGTCTGGCCCCTAATACCTCTCACAGCACAGAGCACAGTGCCTGGCCAGTAGGCTCCTGGTACATGCATAGAGCAAGTGTTCCCTGTGGTCCCGACTGGCTGCGTGGGGAGTCACAGCTGCACAACCAAGATCTCAGCATTGATCTGGGGGCATGGACACATTTCCTGAATACCCCCTATTCCACCCAGTTCCCCTGGTCAGACCACTGCCTCAGTTTCCCCTCCTGACAGCCTTTAAGGAGGTGGTTCCATGGTACCCCTTTATGACAAGGGCAGACCTGCTTCCCTGCTTCCATGGCAACCACAAGTCCCCAGGTTTGCCCTTGGCCCCCAGGAGGAGCTGGCTGCCTCCATTGTTCCCAGTCTTGGGCCAAGAATTGGGAGTCCTGGGTTCCCTTCCTGGATCCCCCACCGTCTAAAGATGGAAGGGCATTAATTCTCCCTGCCTCCATGGATAATTAGGATAATTACAGCAACAATCATGGTGATGAATAAATAATAAATATAAGCATAACAGTTCTGATGGCTGTCACATCACCAGGAGATTCCTGATGACGGATGACTGTTTTCTAATGGGTTTCGCTATTAAGGAGCACACTGTTTTAATGAGTTAAGGCTAAATTAATCCGGGCAATAAAAATAATTGTTATTAGTAGTAATTTATTAGCAAGGATAATGAAATGCATGTGTACTAATAAATACTACCAGGATCGGAGCGCAGGGAACTAGGCAGAAGGTGGCTGCCTGCAGCCAGCTCTTCCCTAGTGGCCCAAAGCCCCGTCAAGAGTGAACTGCTTCTCTCCACCATCAGAAGGCTTTTACGAAGGTGGCAGTGGTGGGGCGAGGGCTTCTCCTTCCTTCCCACATAGAAAAGCTGAGCTGCTCCACGGACAGCATCCTCCCTCGTTCTGTTCCCCAGCCCAGGGGCTTTCCCAGCTGAAGTCCCCAGCAGTGCCCTCCCAGGTTGGGGAAGACGAGGTTGAGGGGAGGAGAGCCTGGACTGGGGGGATTTGGGCTTTAGAGGGAGCACTGCGTGCAAATACGTGGGGTCCTCTCGGCTGCGGCATCGCTGCTGAGTCAGCAGCTTTGGCCCAGCTGCCCTGCGGTTCTGCCTCCAGCCCAGGAGGGAGGAGAGGCCCCTCCCCTCATCTGGCTCGGTCCAGCCCAGATGGTAGTCCTGGGGTGGGGGTGGGGGACTGTCTTCAGGGAGGGTCAGGATAGAGAGGGGCTGTTGCAAAGTCTCTGCGAGAACCCCCTCAAAGCAGCGCCCCCATCCCCGAGCCTTGACCCTGAAGGAGGTGGCTCTTCTGATATCCTGGGGAGCCCGAGACCTCGGCTGTTAGAGAAGAAAGCCTGGAGGAAATTTTTCCATCTCCACAGCACACTCCAATTTCTTATGATGTACTCAGCTCTCGAAAGTGACAGCAGGCTTCAAGCCCAAATGCTGTACTCGACTCGTGGTCCTCCTGTCCCTGCCCATTGCCCATTGAGGTGAAGATGGCAGATCAGCCCGAGGATGGCAGGGGGCTGTAAGGCCCTGATTCCCTTCCCTCCGCCCAGCTCCTCTGCACCACTCTGAGGTGAGACGGGAGGGGCTAGAGATCCTCCTCATCGGGCAGTATAGTAGGCGCAGGGCCATAGTGACCCCTCCCTGGAGGCTGGCACTTGAGTCCCAGTGAAGCCACGGAAGGTGAAAGAAATACCAGGCCTCTCCCGTCCCTGCCCCAGTGTGAGAGACTCTAGTAGACTCCAGGTGAGGAGTCCAAAGACCAGGCCCAGCTGCCAGACCCGTGTGGGGCCAGGGATCCCCCTGTGTCCATCACTGACGGTTGCATGGGTGACTAAAGTATAAGGCATCACCATGATTTTTCCAAACTTTTCATCTATTTGAGAGGCAGAGACGGATTTACACGGAGAGCTCCCATCCGCTGGAGCTGGGTATCCAACCCAGAGTCTCGGATGTGGGTTGTGAGTGTCTGGACTGCTAAATGCCCACCCCTCATTATTCATATTAAAGCAGAGAGGAGGCCAGCGCCGAGGCTCACTAGGTTAATCCTCCACCTGTGGTGCTGGCACCCCGGGTTCTAGTCCCGGTTGGGGCACTGGTTCTGTCTCGGTTGCTCCTCTCCCAGTCCAGCTCTCTGCTGTGGCCTGGGAGTGCAGTGGAGGATGGCCCAGGTGCTTGGGCCCTGCACCCGCATGGGAGACCAGGAGGAAGCACCTGGCTCCTGGCTTCGGATCGGTGCAGCGCACCGGCCGTAGTGGCCGGTGAACCAACAGAAGGAAGACCTTTCTCTCTGTCTCTCTCTCTCTCTCTCACTGTCTAACTCTGCCTGTCAAAAAAAAGAAAAGAAAAAGCAGAGAGGAATGAGGAGAGAAGTGTAGGCTCTCCATTCTGCAGAAGTCCAGGGAATTACTCTTTGCAAGGAAAGACTTCCCGGCTGGGTGTCCTGGGACCTCTGGGGCTCCCGGTGGGCCACACTGTATCACCCAGAGGAATTAGGAGCAAGATTCTACTTGGCTCTGGATTCAGGCCCAGGTTAGACCCGCCCCAGGAACCCGGGGCTCCTCCATGCCCACCTGCCAAGACACAGGGCGCTGCGATGCTGGAGGTCAGCTTTCCGGGCCTTCAGTGTCCCCCTGTGGCCCCCTCACATCCCTACCCCGTACCCCACCACCCCCGCAGGTGCGGGCCAGCGCCATCGCCCAGGATGCAGACCAGAACTACGACTACGCCAGCAACAGCGTGATCCTGCACCTGGACGCGGGCGACGAGGTCTTCATCAAGCTGGACGGCGGCAAGGCGCACGGCGGCAACAGCAACAAGTACAGCACGTTCTCGGGCTTCATCATCTACTCCGACTGAGCGCCCCGCCCCCGCCACGCCACGCCCCCAGGCTACGCCGCCCTCAGAGGGCGCTGACCACCGCCTGGGCCGCAGCTATCTGCCAAGCCGGGTCCAGCGCGCGTGCCCCGGTCCCGGTCCACCCGCCTGCCCGCCTGCGCTGTCTATCTGTACAGATAGGACTGTTCACTGCTCGCCCCCCGCCTGCCAGTGCCACCCCGCCTGGGGAGAGGTCGCGGCAGAGTTGCTTCCTGTGCTCTGATGAGCTGCCCTCCGGCTCCCGGGGGTCGCCACCCGGCAGCACCCCGTCTGACCAAAGCTATAATAAAAACATTTGCACCCGGCGGGGGTTTCAGTCTGTGCCCTGGGGAGGGCACCCTGGATCCTGTCCTCTTCCAAAAGGGGAAGGGGCCTGGGGGGAACTTCCAAGGGAAAGAGGAGGAGCAGGTGCCAGGATGAGAACTGCCCCTGGGGGAGATGGCCCAAAAGGCCCAATGCCCCCCACGGCCGCAGCGGGCAGGATGAGGGCATCTTCCACGGAGAGGTCCCTGCTTTGCATCTGCATCCCAAGACACAGGTGCTCTCAAGTGCAGGAGCTGGGTTCTGGTCCCTGTACTGGCGTGTGTGTGGTCCTGGGCAAGTCGCTCCTCTCAGACTGGATTCTGGGCTGGCGTTCAAAGGAACAGGTTTTGCACGCCATGTGCTTGTCTGGGGGCTTCGCCTCTTGGTCACAGTCTTCTCATCAATAAAGGAGACCTAGTTCATGTGACTGAGGATTAAAGAGGTACTGTGTCTGTGCTCAATAAACAAAGCTTTGCCTGCACGTCCCTTTCAAGCTTTCAGAAGGCTCTCGGGTATGTCCTAGGAGGCTGGATAGGTGGGTCTTAGTCCTCCAGGGAGGTTAAATAGCTTGCCTGTTGTGACATGGTTGCTGAGTTCTGTGACTGCTCTTGAATCCAAGGCACACTGTCTCCTTGTCCTGCCACTGCCTCCCTCGCCTCCTGGAACTGGGGCTAAGGTCTGGTAGCACAGTTAGGGCATTCCTAAGTAGTTATAGCTGATGAATAGATACTGTGTAGAACTTTGTGTTATTCCACCATGTGCATGTCCTTGGGGAGTAGCTTTGCAGACAATGCTTTCATGCCTTTGATGTGGGCGCTGTTACTTTATCCACTGTAGATGGGGAAACAGGCTTGGAGAGGCTAAGTAACTTGCCAGCAGTGCACAGCTAGGAACAGGCACTTGCCATTATTCGAACCAAAGACCACACTCTTAGCCTGTATTATTGTGTCCCATAAAGGCCTGGGATCCCCAAAGCAGAACTGAGGGTGGCAGTGGGACAGCCTGGTCCTGCCCTTCCCCTCCCACCGCAGCCCTGCAGAAGCCTGATGTCTTCACAAGCATGTGCCCTGGGCAGCAGCCACGGGCTGCGCCTCCCGGAGACTCCCAAGGCTCTCCATTGACGGAAGGTCCCATCTGGCCTCCCCTCCCCGGCCTGGCTCAGCTGGAGAGACAGGAAGGAGGGGTAACTCCCTCCTGGCCGGGCCCCATGTATGGACCCTTGTCGTGGCTAGCGGACTTGAATGACTTTCTTTATCCTCCCTTCTCTCCCCTACTTCCCCCCACTGCCAGCTGTGGCCATTTAATAAAATTAGCTTAATGCTTGTTCCTTCCCTGTGGGGTCTGGAGATTGAAATCTGCAGGTCCCCACAAACCCAATAAAACCCCTGGCAGGTCTGGCTGCAACCAGAGGCTCTGAGGGAAGAGTGATTAGATTAGAAGGCAGCCCCCCTCTCCCTTGATCCCCAGTACCACCCACTGCTCCCTGTGATTCCTTAATGGCCACCCTGGACTGGCATTACCCAACCACTACACCTGTGTGTGTATGGGGGTAGGCGTCCCCACCCTTCCCCAGGGCCCACAGGGGCTGATGCAAGACCTGCGTTACAATAAAGCCATGCTAATCATTTCTGTAGGGAGCGCCTCGCTGGCTGACTAGCTGGCTTGCTTTTCTGTCTGGTGACTTGACAATCCTCTTGTCACTTTGAGAGATGGGACTAAAATCTTCATTTTGCAGATGAGGAAATCAGTCTGAAGAACGTTCGTGACTTGCCCGTGGTCATGCAATAAGTTTGTGGCACAGCTGGGGCTGGACTGAAGCCAAGGACTTTTTCTACCTTTCCACTAGGAGTGTCCTGCAGTGCCAGCTGCCAGCTGCTTGTCGCGCAGGCAACATCCCAGCTGCAGGGCAGCCTAGTGGGGCAGTGTCTCCCTGTCACACAGGGACTCCCCAAGGGCAAAGCCTGTATTCCCCCCAGGCTTGGGACACTTGAGGGCAAGGACTGCGTCTCCGCTGTCAGATTGGAAAGCTTCCCGAAGGCAAGACCTGTGACTCCCCTGTCAGACCTCACAGATAAAAAACTGTGTTTCTTCCTCAAATTGTCATCTCTTTGAGAGTGGGGGATGTCTGTTCCGACGCCAGGGATTTGAGGATTCTTAGCAGCAAAGGGCTCCCATGAATGGGTCTGAGGGTCTCCCCAGGGATGGTCTCCCCCTTAACCTGGGGGTTCCCTGAAGGAGGACCCTGTTTCCTCCAGCTGGGGGCTCTCGGAGCAGAGGCTGAGTCTCCGTTCTTGGACTGGAGGCTCCCTGAAAACAAGGAGTTTGAAAGCTGTGTCTCCCCCTCCTCTTCAGTCGGGGACTTCTCTGGCACAGGAACATTCTAGGGGACAGGGCTGGGCGGATGGCAAAAGTGAGGCATGCTGGGAAGACTCTGGATGAAGGAAGCCTGGTGTCTCCCCCTTTAAGACAAGTGTAATTAACAAACAATGTCCAGGCCGGCGCCGCGGCTCACTAGGCTAATCCTCCGCCTAGCGGCGCCGGCACACCGGGTTCTAGTCCCGGTCGGGGCGCCGGATTCTGTCCCGGTTGCCCCTCTTCCAGGCCAGCTCTCTGCTGTGGCCAGGGAGTGCAGTGGAGGATGGCCCAGGTGCTTGGGCCCTGCACCCCATGGGAGACCAGGAAAAGCACCTGGCTCCTGGCTCCTGCCATCGGATCAGCGCGGTGCGCTGGCCGCAGCGCGCCGGCCGCGGCGGTCATTGGAGGGTGAACCAACGGCAAAGGAAGACCTTTCTCTCTGTCTCTCTCTCTCACTGTCCACTCTGCCTGTCAAAAAAAAAAAAAAAAAAACAAAAAAAAACAAACAATGTCCACACCAGGAGGGGTGTGAGGACAGAGGTGCCCCTGGCGCTCACCCACACCCAGAATGGCAAAGCCATCCTGTGCCCCGGCAGCGGCCAGCCCTGGGGCTGGTGCTGCCCTGGTTTCTGGGGTTTTGGGGACCAGAAGGGGCAGCGGCACCCACCGCTGGGGGCTGCCCTAATTGGATGACTTTGCAGGAAGGCCAGGCAGGTGTGTTCGGTTTTCCGCTTCAGCTTGCCACAAACACATCTGCCACGGGCAGGTCTCGGGGTTAATTGCCTCCCGTCTCACTCCTGGTAACCGATATTTCATTTACTGCTCAGAAGGGGAGCTGTCCAGAGAATCAATCCTGGACAAGTGTCCAGGAGACAGGGGACCTGGGGGAGGAGGGGGCACAGGGGCTGTTTCCCGGCGGAGTTCCAGGCACCAGAGGAGCAGGCAGAAGCAAAGCCCCAAGGAGAGAAGCCAATCGCTCAAGGCTGCTCTGGGCCTCATCCGAGTTCTGTTGACCCTGACAATAGCTCCAGGACCCCCAAAGTCTGGGAGAAAAATCCCAGGAGGTCCCGGGGCTTCCTTCCACCAGTCAGCCATGTTGTGTCCCATGTCCTGGTTCCTTCTGCCTGAATTTACCTGGGTGCCCCTAGATGAAATGGCACAGGTTAGATGCTGTTAATAAGGTTACTTTCACAAGCTGTGAAGGTATATTTGAAAGCAGAATTGGAGGTGTGAGCTCCTCGCTCCCTGCCAGCTAACCTTAAGTCCTACAAATGAGGTGATAATAATGTGGATGTGAAGTCTACACGTGCTGGGAACTGGAAGGGGGCTGAAGGGTAACTGAGAGGTGGCAGCTGGGGTGGAGCAGAAAGGGGCACGAGGCCTCACCCCCCACATACCCTGTGCAGTCCACTCGCTACACATTTGCCCACATTGAGATTCAAAGCCATGTAATAGGCAAGTCCCATTACACAGCTGGCAAAACTAAGGCCCAGAGAGGAATGGTTGGTCCAGGGCAGAACTAGAACCAGAGAGAGCAGGTCATGGAGACAAGAAGAACTGGGTTCAAGTCCTCACCAAGCTCAGTGTTTCAGGGAGATACATCACCTCTCGAGCCTCAGTTTTGCTATGTGTAAAATGGGAATGGGTCATAAAATGGCTACCTGCAGGATGCTGTGAGGTGGGAGACGGTAAGTTCTCTTGTGAGTTATGAAATAAAATGCACATGTGTCGTTGTTGCAACCCGAGGCTCCCGAGCCCGGTGACTCCAGGTTCTTCCGACGGCAGGTCAATGCCTGGGATGGAGATGGTGCTCGCTCGCCAAGGGAGCCGAAGACAGGCGCGTTCTCCGACCCCGGCAGCCCCTAAGTGAGGGGCCCTACGGGCAGACTCGGCCTCTGGCACAGGATGTGGAGCTGAGTCCTGAGAGGGGCGCTCCCCGAGCCCCCTGCTCTCCCACTTGGATTTCCTCATCCTTCTGCTCTGGGGCCTCCAGTGTAGGATGAGGGCCCCGGGACGCCCCCCAGGTGCTGGCCATCGGCTGCTGTCTCGATTTGCTCTGCTCATTTCAGCAAATGTTGCTGACATCTCCTGTGGGCAAGGCTCCAGCTTGGTGTGGAGCCTCCAGAGATGGATGGAAAGCCATCCAGAGATGGCCACCAGGGTCACACAGCTACACCGGGGACACGACAGCACTGGGAGTCACACAGCTACACCCGGGACACAACGGCACTGGGGGTCACTCAGATACACCCGGGACACGACAGCGCTGGGGGTCACTCAGATACACCCAGGACACGACAGCACTGGGGTCACACAGATACACCCGGGACACGACAGCACTGGGGGTCACTCAGATACACCCGGGACACGACAGCACTGGGGTCACACAGATACACCCGGGACACGACAGCACTGGGGGTCACACAGCTACACCCGGGACACGACAGCACTGGGGGTCACACAGATACACCCGGGACACGACAGCACTGGGGGTCACACAGATACACCCGGGACACGACAGCACTGGGGGTCACACAGATACACCCGGGACACGACAGCACTGGGGGTCACACAGATACACCGGGACACGACAGCACTGGGGGTCACACAGCTATACCGGGACACGACAGCACTGGGGGTCACACAGATACACCCAGGACACGACAGTGCTGGAGTGCAGAGAGGGTTTCAGAGACCACCCACAGGGCTCGCTGCTGAGGGAGCTGGACTAGGTGTGTAAGGCCACCACAAAACACACCGAACGCCGGAGTTGAGGGAAAGGTTTATTGTTGGGTCAGGGAAGCCTGTCAGCCCGGGGCGGAGGGGGGGGGTGAGAGTAAGAGAGAGGAATCAGGAGGGAGAGAGCACGAGTGCTGGAAGCAGGTCTGGGGGTGAGGGGCAGGGAAGTAGGAGCACTGTATCCCATCAGGGTTGGGGTGGAGCTGACACCTGTGGTTGGGCCATCTGGTCACCCAGCTTCCAGCAATGGTGGGGAAAGGGGAGCTAGAGCCAAGGAGGTATCTGGGGCGTAGATTGCACCACAGATAAGATGGCACCATTTTACTAACATTC